ACTGACGTCCACACTACCAAAACATCACAACCACAAACAACCGAAGTACATACCACAACTACACAACCACAAACAACCGAAATACACACTACTACAAAAACGACCCAGCCACAAACAACCGAAGCAAACAGTATCTCAACTACAGAACCGCAGAAAAACGTTACTGAAATTACAGAGATGCCATCTCAAACAACGACCACTTCAGGTTAGAACCAGTCAGTCAATTCCCCATTCCTCTAAGTCAGGCCCTCTAGTGACAGAACGTATCTGTGACGTCATAATAAAGTATACGCCTGAAGGAAATGTCCTTCACATTAACAGCTGTTCTCGCTTGGGTGGATGGTCGTCATTTTGAATATAGGAACATCTCAAGCATAATGTTCAGTAATAGACGACACAGACCAATTTAAACTGTCTCCGGTCTATTACCACCATTGAAGCGCTTCGCCACAAGAGAACGCGACTTTCAATTACTAACGACGTGCTCGTGCAATATTTTCATCATATCATCTACATATCATTACGTACTGTCCAACTTAGTTGGGGCCCAAGGTTGGGTTAGCGAGCACCTTTAGTCGACTTGCAGAGCATGATGGAACTCCTCACAAGACCCAGACAAAGGATAACGTACAATGAACGTACTGTAGTATTTCATTTTGGTTAGTTGAAAATGTTCTATGAAATTTATAAAACAAACATTGGCTTTACCAATTTACTTACTGTATTTTTAACATATATTGCAGGTTTTCAATGTCAAGAAAATGAATTTAAATGTGTTGATAGTGATAATGAATGTCTTCCACTAGCATTGAAATGTAATGGATGGCAAGACTGTGATGATGGATTCGATGAACAGAATTGTGGTTAGTACGATTATCAACTTGAAGTTTAGCAACACAACGTAACGATATATGAAACACATACAAGTTGTGCGCGTGGTATTCTGTCAGAGTACGTCAAAATCTTTAGGCTCGTTCAAGGCTTGTTCCTAGCGCGAAGCCACTGGCTCGTACATACAGACAATGCGCGTAACGCCTTTAATGAAATCTATTGTCTATTTAGTTTTACTAATGAATAAATTAATCAGAATTGTAAGTATTTTAAAAGTATTCTTATTACAGAGATACCGTGCACCGATGATGAATATAAATGTACAGGTTCAGGTGGTTGTATACCTGGTAACTGGCAGTGTGATGGCATGCCAGACTGTTCTGATGGTTCTGATGAACTAGAATGTAAGTATAGTCACGATTACGCATTCATCGTATCTAAATATATCCACAATCTTATATCCACATATTTATAATTATCATTCTAGTATATTTTTTACACACCGTCTCCGGTGGGACAGATCTAAAACTGGGTAGAGGGGTGCCACTGAGCCGGCTTCAAAAGTGTGTGAATTTTTATACCAATGTTTTGATAACATCCATACCCATATTTATACCAAATACTTGTCAAATGTGAAATCACAGTTCTTCGGTTTTTGAATACCTTGTACAGCCCAAATATTGCAGATATTTATACCCATTATTTATACCTATTTGTACGGGACATACCTAAAATCATATTTTTTATATATAGTATCAAAGGTACATTACTTGGGGTTTGCAACTACGGTGACATGATATCAAGATCCCGTTTCAATCTCGCGCTCGCATAAGCGTTCCAACTCAAAAAAATGCGAATGGGCATGACCGATCAAAATAGCTGCTCACGATATGACGGATTACGATAACTATATTTTCTGTACATTTTCGATGTATTACATTTTTTCACCATGAATATGGTAATACATGTTTTATTGTTTTATTACAAACCGCTTGTATCATGTTAGAAGGTCATAGCATCAGTCTCGCTATCTACGAGATGAGACTTGAATGGGATCTTGGCATGATGTCGCCATACAGTACTATGCGCGTTGCAAACCCCTAGTAATGTACCTCTAATAGTATACACATATACATCCATGGTTATAACATTTTCATATGATAACATAACATTTTGTAACATAATCATAAAATGTATATATATATATATATATATATATATATATATATATATATATATATATATATATATATATATATATATATATGCAAACAATTATATATAACATATTTCAATTCAGTTATATAATATATTTATACATGATCATTATACATATTGCGCCATACAAAGAAAACGTACTGGTTATATTATAGGTGGTGGCGATGGTGGATGGGCTGAGTGGAGTAACTGGGGTGAATGTAATGTGAACTGTGGTACTGGCGAGCAAACACGTTCTCGGTACTGTGAAGGTGAAGAAAGCCAGTGTGTTGGAGAGGTTATCGAGTACAGACTCTGTCATAAGACCCCCTGTTACATGGAAGGAAGTAAAGTATTGCTCTTTCAAAAATAACCAATGCTTAATTTACCATTGGTCAATGTTTACTAATTTGAAAACAAATTAAAGAC